GTGAATTGTTAATGCCTCTCAAAGTTCAAAGTTTGATACTGTTCTTTATGTTTTACCTATCTCATTATGTTGAATATAAATATCTCTTAATGTTATAACTAGCAAAGAAAGCTACCGTGACAACTTATGGCACAAGCGCCTCCAGTCTCAGATTGATCCAACCTCATTGGACCCCACAGCATAAACTTCTCACTCCCACCAAATCCAAGTGCAACCCTCCAACCCGAAACAAACACTCACAGCTCTAACCCAGACACGACAACTACAAAGGGACTACTCACGGTGACTTGAAAGATTCTCACTTTGCAGAAACCGTGAGTAATACACTACACGCGGTGAGAGGTAAAGGGAACGTGAAAATCTTCCTCCTCTCTCCCAGACACACACAAAGACGAACCCCTAAGGGGCACAATACAAATATAACACAGGCACCAACTACCCCTCCAACACACCTGGGAACTGAACTGTAAGACCAGGAAACACTCTCACCACAACCCCCCGTCGCCCCACTCCCATTACCCCGACCCCATACTATCCACCCTACCGTCCATCCTACGACCTATCCCCTACCCCCCACCCAACCCCCCCGAATAGGAAGAAGCAAACCGGCAGGTCTACCACCAACTACTCCGAAGACCGCACACTACACACCATGCCTAGGACAATCTCATGTATATCACTTAACTGTAAAGGCCTAAATAACCCGGCCAAACGGCATCAACTGATGCGCTGGGCGAACCGCACGAGGGCAGACATAATCCTCCTTCAGGAAACACACTTTGAAGAAACCAGATCCTTCCCCCTTAAAAACAAAAACTACACGACATGCCACCTAGCGAACTCCCAAACTGGCAAATACAACGGGGTGGCAATACTACTACATAAATCTTGCCCGATAACCTTCAAAAACACAATAGCAGACCCACAAGGCAGGTTCCTGACAATAACAGGTAACTTGGGGAACCACAGATATGCTATCTCAACCATATATGCGCCCAACAAACTGGACCTGCTTTTCTGGACGACCCTCAAAGCCCACCTAAAACTATGTGCCTCACATCACATAATACTAGGGGGAGATTACAACACAGTCATGTCCCCCCTTATAAACTGTAAACGGGCCACGACTGCTAAAACCAAATCCACCAAATACCTCAAACTGGACAAATCAATAGCGGATTTTGCACTCCACACAGGTCTCCAAGACGTATGGAGACTGCAACACACCGACACACCGGACTTCACCTTCTACTCACACCCACACTCTTCCTACTCTAGAATTGATATGTTTTTAATCTCCCCCTCCGTACTCCCCCTGACGACAAAAACCTCTATAGGCAATATAGCATGGTCAGACCATGCAGACATAACACTCGAACTGCAGATCCCCCTCACGACCCGGACGTGGACATGGCGCCTAAACCCCACCCTACTCCATAACCCAGACATTTGAAAGACAATACGCTCCGAACTAGGGAACTATTTCATTGACAACAAAGACTCAGTACCCTCAACGGGCATCCTATGGGCATAGGTACCAAATAAACATTATAGGTTTATCTGGTACCTATTTTTTGCACAAAGAGTTTTAGTGTAAGATAGGTTCTATTTATCATCTTTGTAAATGCCTTTTTTAAGTCTGCTCTTCACTTTTATTGAAATGGAATATGCCTGTTCTTCACTTTTATCGAAACCAAATATGCATTTTTATGAAGTATTATCTAGTATTTATTACTTTATTTATATTTATTCTTATTTCATGGTAATATTATGGACTACATTGAGCTTCTTCCCTTGGGAATG